GAATATTTATGAACTGTCTGTTGTATGCAAAACATTGCTAGATACTTGGGTAAGAGATGAAAAAAATATGCCTAGCCTTTAGAAGCTTCCAGAGTGGTGGTTAGGATAGGGGGGAGAGGTAAATTCATCAAATATGCGTAATATGTAGTGGGAACCCACATCTGCCCTGAGGGGCCAGGAGTGTGTGAGGGCAAAAGTGGGCCAGTAATATTCTAGGTAGAGGAAGCACCTGTCTTTTCTGTCCTTTACTGCCAGCATCTGATGTTGTCAGTGACCTGCCAGAATCACACAGTAATAATATTGGAGTGATTCCTTGTTACTCTCTGACTTAAACATTTTTCTCAATTATTATTTATAATTTTACATATAATATATAATTTCGTTTTGAAATGGTTATTTTGTTTTTTAACAAATAGAGACAGGGCTCGCTATGTTGCCCAGGCTGGTTTTGAACTCCTAAGCTCAAGCAGTCCTCCTGCCTCTGCCTCCCAGAGTGCTTTACAGGTGTGATTACAGGTGTGAGACACTGCGCCCAGCCATAATTTGTTTTAAGCATCTATATTCAGGCAGTATGGTAGGCACTTTCACTCTGTGTTTTCTCTGATATAGTTTATTCTACTGCGTTTTCTTACAAATAGTAATTACTCTTATTTCCAGTTAAAACAGATGATAGGCTTGGCATGATGGCTTATGCCTATAATCCTAGCATTTTGGGAGGCTAAGGTGGGAAGATCACTTGAGTCCAGGCATTCAAGACTAGTCTGGGAAACATAGGGAGACTTAATTTTTTTTTTTTTTAATTAGCTGGGTGTGATGGCATTGACTTGTAGTACCAACTACTTGGGAGGCTGAGATAGGAGGATAACTTAAGACCAAGAGGTCAAGGCTGCAGTAAGCTGTGGTCATGCCACCGCACCACAGTATAGGTAACAGAGTGAGACCTGGTCACACACTCAAAAAATAGATCATAGATATAGACTACTTTTTCATTCTCTTGGCAATAGTCCTTTCCTATTTCCTCCTGTATTAGTCCATTTTCACAGTGCTATAAATATACCACCCGAGACTGGATAATTTATAAAGGAAAGAGGTTTAATTGAGTTACAGTTCTGCATAGCTGGGGAGGTATCAGGAAACTTAGAAGTATGGTGGAACGCAAAGAAGAAGCAAGGACCTGCTTCACAAGGCAGCCGGAAAGAGAGAAAGTGAAGCAGAAAGCCCTTTATGAAGCCATCAGCTCTCGTGAGACCTCACTCATTATCGTGAGAAGAGTGTGGGGGAACCACCCCCATGATCCAGTCACGTGGGGGGTTATGTGTGGGGATTACAATTCGAGATGAGATTTGGGTAGGGACACAGAGTCAAACCGTATCACATCCTGACCATGCCTTGTGCTATAGCTAAGAAAGTCTACCTGCTCTTCTCCCATGCTGAATTCTGATGATCTTCCCTGATTCCTCTTGCCAAAAGCTAGTCCAATGTGGACTTGTGCCTGTAGTTTTAGCTACTTGGGAGGCTGAAATTGGAGGATCATTTGAGACTAGGAATTAGAATCTTCACTGAGTTATTATCTTGCCACTGCACTCCAACCTGGGCAACAGAGCAAAACCTATCTCTTAAAAAAAAAAATGCTGAGAAAACATTCTATTCTATACTGAGTTTGTGTTCCTAGGTTAAAAAAAAAAAAATTAAAGTATAAAAACAATTTTAAGGAAAAAAATAAAGGCCAGGCGTCTCACACCTATAATCCCAGCACTTTGGGAGGCTGAGGTGGGCGGATCACCAGAGATAGGGAGTTTGAGACCAGCCTGTCCAACATAGTGAAACCTTGTCTCTACTAAAAATTACAAAAAAAAATTACCCAGGTGTGGTGGTATACACCTGTAATCCCGGCTACTTGGGAGGCTGAGGCAGGAGACTCACTTGAACTTAGGAGGCAGAGGTTGCAGTGAGTTGAGATAGCACCACTCCAATGTAGCCAGAGCGTCAGCGTGAGACTCTCTCTCTCTCAAAAAAAAAAGAAGGAACTCTTGAAGCATTTTTAAGAATTTCTTACTTAGAGGCCTCAGAAATAACACCACACATCTACATCTATCTGATTCTTGACAATCCTGACAAAAGCAATGGGAAAAGGATTCCCTGTTTAATAAATGGTGCTGGGGAAACTGGCTAGTCATATGCAGAAAACTGAAACTGGACCCCTTCCTTACACCTTATACAAAAATTAAGATGGATTAAAGACTTAAATGTAAAACCTAAAACGATAAAAACCTTAGAAGAGAACTAGTCAGTACCATTCAGGACATAGGCATGGGCAAAGACTTCATAACTAGAACACCAAAACCAATTTCAGCAAAAGCCAAAATTGACAAATGGGATCTAATTAAAGAGCTTTTGCACAGCAAAAGAAACTATCATCAGAGTGGACAGGTGGCCTACAGAATGGGAGAAAATTTTTGCAATCTATCCATCTGACCAAGGGCTAATATCCAGAATCTACAAGAAACTTAAATTTACAAGGAAAAACCCCCATCAAAAAGTGGGCAAAGGATATGAACAGATACTTCTCAAAAGAAGACATTTATGCAGCCAACAAACATGAAAAAAGGCTCATCATCACTGGTCATTAGAGAAATGCAAATAAAAACCACAGTGAAATACCATCTCACACTAGTTAGAATGGTGGTCATTAAGTGGCTCATGCTTGTAATCCCAGCACTTTGGGAGGCCAAGGGGGCAGATCATAGGGTCAGGAGTTAAGACCAGCCTTGCCAATATGGTGAAGCCCCTTCTCTACTAAAAATACAAAAATTAGCCAGGCATGGTGGTGGGCACCCGTAGTCCCAGCTACTAGGGAGGCTGAGGCAGGAGAATCACTTGAACCCAGGAGGTGGAGGTTGCAGTGAGCCAAGATCGCACCACTGCCCTCCAGCCTGGGCAACAGAGCAAGACAGCACATTAAAAAAAAAAAAGTCAGGAAACAACAGGTGCTTGAGAGGATGTGGAGAAATAAGAATGCTTTTAGATTGTCGGTGGGAGTGTAAATTAGTTCAAACATTGTGGAAGACAGTGTGGTGATTTCTCAAGGATCTAGAACCAGAAATACCATTCGACCCAGCAATCCCATTACTGGGTGTATATCCAAAGGATTAGAAATCATTCTACTATAAAGACACATGCATATGTGTCGTGCATACATATGTTTATTGCAGGACTATTTACAATAGCAAAGACTTGGAACCAACCCAAATACCTATCAATGATAGACTGGATAAAGAAAATGTGGCAAATATATCCCATGGAATACTATGCAGCCATAAGAAAGAATGAGTTCATGTCCTTTGCTGGGACATGGATGAAACTAGAAACCATCATCCTCAGCAAACTAACACAGGAACAGAAAACCAAACACCACATATTTTTACTCATTAGTGGGAGTTGAACAGTGAGATCACATGGACACAGGAAAGGGAACATCACACACCGAGAGCATTAGGACAAATACCTAATGCATGTGGGGCTTAAAACCTAGAGGACGGGTTGATAGGTGCAGCAAACCACCACGGCAGATGTATACCTGTATAACAAACCTGCACATTGTGCACATGTATCCCAGAACTTAAAAAAAAATTATTTCTAATATTCATGGCCGGGCACGGTGGCTCACACTTATAATCCCAGTACTTTAGGAGGCTGAGGCAGGTGGTTTACTTGAGGTCAGGAGTTCAAGACCAGATTGACAACACGGTGAAACCCCACTGCTACTAAAAATACAAAATGTTAGCTTGGGTGTGGTGGTGCATGCCTATATAGTCCCAGCTACTCAGAAGGCTTAGGCAGAATTGCTTGAACCCGAGAGGTGGAGGTTGCAGTGAGCTGAGATTGTGCCGCTGGACTCCCGCCCAGCAACAGAGAAAAAAAAATTCCTTATGTCCTTACAGAATATATTATTTTAGATGTGGATATTCTAGAGATTGATGGTGGTGATGTTTGGATAACAGTATGGGTATGGGTTTACTTAATGCTGCAGAACTCTGTACACTTAAAAATGCTTAAAATGATACTTTTATATTGTGTGTTATTTACCACAATTAATAAATATAGAAGTAAATAGTGTGGAGGGGTAAGATACAGTGGGCTATCTCCTGTAATTCAAGCACTTTGGGAGGCCAAAGCAGGAGGATCAAAAGTTAACCAGCTTGGGTAACATAGTGAGACCCTTTTCTTTACAAAAAAATACAAAAATTAGTTAGGTATGGTGGTGTCCACCTATAGTCCCAGCTACTTGGGAGGCTGAAGTGGGAGGATTGTTTGAGCCCAGGAGGTCGGGGCTGCAGTAAACCAGAATTGTACTGCTGCACTCCAGCCAGGATGGCAGAGTGAGACCCCCATCTCAAAAAGAAAAAAAACTGGAGAAGGCATTTTCTTTCCCTTCAAACTATCAAGCAAGGAAAAAAGTAGTTTCTATGACTTTTTGCCGGGAATCCTCAATCCTTACTCATCTATCGTGTTTTATCGTCTCCTTTATCCGATATTAATACAGCCAGTCCAATTTTCTTATGGGTATTTGCAGAGTATGTAATTTTCTGTCCTTTTACTTTTAACCTGTGTTGGTGTTGGTTTTTTGAGGCAAATTCTCACTCTCACCCAGGCTGGAATGCAGTGGCGTGATAACAGCTCACTGCAACCTTCACCTCCTGGGTTCAAGTGATCTTGTGCCTCAGCCTTCTAGGTAGCTGGGATTATAGGTGTGCACCACTACACCTGGCTAATTTTTGTATTTTTGGTAGAGATGGGGTTTCACCATGTTGGCTAGGCTTGTCTTGAATTATCAACCTCAGGTGATCCGCACCCTGCCCCTCGGCCTCTTAAAATGCTGGGATTACAGGTGTCAGCCACCACTCCTAGCTGTTTATGTGGATTTCATTTACCATCTGGTATCATTTTTTTCAGCCTGAAGGGCTGGCTTTAGTATTTCTTTTTTCTTTTTCTAAGGTTCCCATCAGGTGGTTAATGTGCTGAAGTCATAACAAGGTTTAAGGAGGCACATCACACACATGAGCATGAAAACCCAATCATCATGCTTGTGAACTACAGAAGGATTTCTTTAGTATTTCTTCTAAGTCAGGTCTGCTAACTAGGAAGGCTTGCAGTCTTTTTTTGTCTGGGAATGTCTTATATTTTTATTTTTGAAGGATGGTTCTGTTGGATGTATTAGTTTTTCATTGCTGAATTAAAAATTACCACAATTGTAGCCCTTAAAATACCCCTAGCCAGGTGCAGTGGTGTGTGCCTATAGTCCCATCTACACAGGAGGCTAAGACAGGAGAATCACTTTAGCCCAGGAGTTTGAGGCAGCTACAGTGTGCTATGATCATGCCTGTAAATAGCCTGCACTCCAGCCTGGGAAATAAGCAAGACACAGCTGTCTCTTAAAAAAAATTTTTTTAAATAAATAAGTGGAGTTTTAAATTAATTAAACACCACCAAATATTATCTCACAAGTTTCTGTGAGAAGTCTGAATATGGCTTGTCTGGCTCAGGGTCTCACAATCCCTGCGATCAAGGTTGGTCAAGGTTATGGTTTCATCTGAGGCCTAGGAGTTCTCTTCCAGGCTTACATAGTTGTGGGCAGTGTTAATTTTCTTGGAGTTGTAGAGTTTACAGTAGCCTTCCTCTTAAAGGCCAATGGAAAAATCTCTTTGATCTCAGGGAAGACTAAAGCCGGCTTTTAAGGGGGCTCACCTAATTAAGTCAAGGCTACTGAAGTCAAAGTGAAACTGATTAGGGAGTTTAATTAACATCTGTAAAATCCCTTCACCTTTGCCATATAATATAACCTAATTATGGAAGTGACATCCATTGCATTAATAGGCCTCACTCAGGTTCTAAGGGTGGTGTGTATGCCAACGGGTGGCAATTTTAGGCATCATCTTAGAATTCAGCCTCCCACACTGGATAGGAAATTCTTTGTTGATTTTCTTTCTTTTTCCTTTTTTGAGCATTCTGAATATGCTACTGCTTCCTTGTCTCCACTGTTTCTGGTGAGAAGTCAGCTGTTAATCTTATGGTCCCCTGTAGTGATGAGTAGACTTCTCTTGCCACTGTAGTCAACATTTTGCTTTTCTTTGGCTTTTAACAGTTTTACTATGATGTTTGCTAGGTGCAGATCTCTTTGTGTTTATCCTACTTAGATTTCATTGAGCTTCTTGGATGCATAGATTAAGGGTTTAGAAAAATTTTTTAAGTTTTCAGCCATTATTTATTGTTTGTCTCATTGTGGGACTTGCATTATGTGTGTATTGATAGACTTGATGGTATCCTACAGGTCCCTGAGGCTCTGTTCATTCTTATTTTTTTTCTTTCTCTCTGCTCTTCAGAATGGATAATTTCTTGATGTGTCTTCAAGTTTTCAGATGCTTTTGTCTGCTGGTTTGAATCCCCCGTTGATCCCCTTCAGTTAATTTTTCATTTCAGCTATTGTACTTTTCAGCTGTAGAAGTCAATTCAGTAGTTTTTTATAATCTCTTTTTGTTGAGATTCTCTATTCTTTGAATCATTGTCATCATGCTTTCTTTTAGTTCTTTAAGCATGGTTTCCTTTAATTTGAACATATCGATAGCTGCTTGGAAATCCTGGATGGCTGAACAGCTGAACCTTCCCAGAGACCATTTCCACTAATTTTTTTTAACCTTTTGTCTGTGGCTCACACTTTCCAGTTTCTTTGCATGTCTCATAATTTTTTGTTAAACTGAACATTATAAATAATACATTGTAGAGACTCTGAGTTAGACTGCCTCCTGCCCCTTCCCCAAGGGGAGGTGGATGTTGCTATTTATTTATTTATTTTTTGAGATGGAGTTTTGCTCTTGTTACCCAGACTGGAGTGCAATGGCGCGATCTCGGCCCACCACAACCTCCGTCTCCTGGGTTCAGGCAATTCTCCTGCCTCAGCCTTCTGAGTAGCTGGGATTACAGGCACGCGCCACCATGCCCAGCTAATTTTTTGTATTTTTAGTAGAGATGGGGTTTCACCATGTTGACCAAGATGGTCTCGATCTCTTGACCTCGTGATCCACCCGCCTCGGCCTCCCAAAGTGCTGGGATTACAGGCTTGAGCCACCACGGCCGGCCTTGTCATTTATTTTTTTAGAGACTTGCCTGCGTTAAGTCTGTAATGTGAGGTGGTGATAGCACTGACCAATTTTTTTGTTGTTGTTATGTTGGTGGTTTGTTGTTGTCATTGTTGTTGGTTTAAGTCAGGTTTTCTAAGGGTCACCCCGAGTCAGTTTGTCAGCATATCTTAGTGGTCAGAAACTGGTCAAAGGTTATGCATAGCTATTTGAGCCATTGAGGCTTCAGCCTTTTTCATTTTTTTAAGAGACAGGGTCTTGCTATGTTTACCAAGTTGGTCTTGAACTCCTGGCCTCAAGCAGTCTTCCCACCTTGGCCTCCCAAAGTTCTAGGATTATAGATGTGAACCACTGCACTTGACCAACTTCTGCTTTTTGCCAATGCAGGTTGGGAAATGAAGTCAAAGTTTGGGCAGTTTACAAGTTTGCCCCAGCTTTTACTTCATGCCAAGTCTTCTCTTGTCGTGGGCTCTCCTGTGTCTGTGAAAGGTCTCTCATTCAGTCATGGATGTTTAAATAACTAGGATCCTCTCCAGCTGAGCATGTACACAGGATGCTTGTGTAAGCACACAGAGACTTTCAGATCTCCGTAGATACCTGGAAGCTAATCAAGGCCTACCATAGCTGTGAAATTCTTCTGGTAAGTCTGCTGATTTGTTGCTTGCCCCCAATATTGCAGCCTTGGGTTGCTGCAGTATTGGCCTTCCCCACTGTTTGCCACCAATATTGCTGTTGGTTTCAACAATACTCCTGCATTTGGGACTTTTTATATTTTGCTCCTAACCAGTGACCCTCCTTCAGCAGTGATGGTGCTAGTTTTCATAGCTTGCCCCATCCTGGTAGAACTACCATTGATAGAGCTGGTGGAGCATGGTAATAGTAGCTCTAGGTTAAAACACACAGACTTCTGGCTGGGTGTGGTGGCTCATACCTGTAATCCCAGCACTTTGGGAGGCCGAGGTGGGTGGATCACTTGAGGTCAGGAGTTTGAGACCAGCTTGGCTAACATGGTGAAACTCCATCTCTACTAAAAATACAAAAACTAGCCAGGTATGGTGGCAGGTGCCCATAATCCCAGCTACTTGGGAGGCTGAGGCAGGAGAATTACTTGAACTTGTGAGGTGGAGGTTCCAGTGAGCCAAGATCACGCCACTGCACTCCAGCCTGGGCAGCAAGAACAAGACAAGACTCCTTCTCAAAAAAAAAATACACATAAAAACACACACACACACACACACACACACACACAGAAAGAGAGAGAGATTTCTACTGTTCTTTACTGAGTTCAGTAGTTTTTCTTAAATGATTACTTTTCAATTTGTTATACACCTGTGCCCAATTTCTAGAGTTCTGATATGGTGGTTTTGACATCTTTGTCTAGTTTTATCGTTGAATTTTGGGGAGAAGCTCTGCTGAGCTTCTCCCTCTATTATTCCAGCAGTTCCCCCTTTACTTTTTTATTTTATACCTTTCTCTTTTTTTTGACACAATTGCATTTTATTACCTCCACATTTTGAAGCAGTTCATGACCAGCATAGTGCTTTGGGGGCATTTTTTTTTTTCCAATAAATGAAAGCATTTCTTTAAGAAAAAGGCACATATTCCTTGAGTAGGTAAGAAAAGCTCCCCATCTGTCCCCTCCCTTTTTGAGGGAGCAGCCCGTGTGGGAACTCATACCAGTACCCCAGAAACATTCAGCAAAGCAATCAGTAGCCTCCCTGATCCCTTGCCCCACTTCCCCAGCAGCTGGGATGAAGACATTCCGCACAGGTCATTTGATCTTGAGGTCCTTCAAGACTGACTCCAAGCTCTTCACATCCCAGATACTCATGCCACCGTCCATGCCACCGGTGCAGAACTGTGAGCACTTGGCCTTGCCCCCGCTGAGCACCGAGATCTGGCTGACGCTATTCTTGTGCAGCGAGTCCAGGACCGAGCCCGTGGAGGTGCCTCCCTCGGAGTTCGCCTTCTTGTCAAGGTTTTGGAAGCCTCGCGGGCCATCAAGCCGCGCTGCGAGCTCTGCTTGGGCACATCCAGCCGCCCACCAAAGCTCAGCGTCCCCGCAGCGGCTTTGTAGGTGAACAGCACCGGGAAGCCGTCATGCCCGCTGCCACCAGGCTTTTGTCTGTGATGAAGGTCAGCGCCAGCAGTGGCAGTGTTTCAGAGGCCAGGGTCGCGACGGCCATCTTCTTCTCGGCATCAGCCAGGCACACGGTGCTGTCATGGCTCACCCAGGCCAAGCGGCTCCCGCTGGCTGAGAAGCAGACGCCATGTACCCAGCCGCAGCTACTGCTGGACTCAAACATCAGCTCCCCAGAGGGCGTCTTAGAGCCCCATGGTGTGGGTGCCGGCCGCTCCTCCACCTCCTTGATGTAGGCTGATAAGATCCGGCACTTGAAGTCACAGGAGCTGGCAGCCAGCAGCACATTGTTGGGGTGCCAGTCCAGGCTGAGGACCGTGGAGTGGATGGGCTTCTTGATGTGCTTGCAAACCCACCAGTCATTCTCCTGCTCGAAATAACTGATGGAGATGACACGAACTTGTTCTCGTTGGGGGCCCAGCACATGCAGCGGGCGGCCCGGTTGATCCGCAGGATGACCAGCGTGGGCTTCCATGTGCGGCCCTTCGGCGTCCAAACGTAGGCGTTGCGGTCTGTGCCACAGGTCACAGTTCAGTTACTCTCAGGAGCCCAGTCGATGCCTGTCACCTGCCCATTGTGCTCCTTGAGCTCGTGCACCTTGGTCCATTTGGCTCCACTCTTTTCGTAGATGTGCACCTCATGGTTGTTGGGGCAAATGGCGATCTGGGCATGGTCCTTGTTCCAGGCGTGGCAGCTGATGGGCTCCACCAGGAGGCTGTAGTAGGCCATGGTGGCTTGGCTCCTCCCATGCCCTGGCCGCGGACTCTGGGCAGTCGACGTGCCGAACCGCTATTTTATACCTTTCTTTTAGGTTCTCATATTTTGAAGAGAAATGTTTTTTTTTTTTTCACATTATTATGTTTTTTTTCACATTATGTTCTTACTGTTAATTTATGGATGCTCAGAAACACTTTTTATGCAGTGTTTAAATGTTTTTAGAAGCCTCTTAAATATTCCCAGGCCCCTTGAACATAGTAGTTGTTGAGATATTTATTAAATGCTCATTTAGTAGAGTTTTAAAACTTTGTTTAACATCTGCTTTGGGTCAGGTACTGTAACCATAATGTGACTTTAGAGCATGGACTTTGAAGTTGAACGTGTGCAAGAATCCTCTCTCTGTTAATGAACATGTGACCTTGAACAAGTTATTAACTCCTCTCGAATATCTTCAGCCATAAAATAAAACTTCAGAGGGGTAAATGTGACTTAAGGCATAATATTTGCCATACATTAAGTATTCAATACGTGATAATATGTGAGAATGTGTGAGAAGAATGCGTAGTAATAGTTTCTACTTAATTATTACGGTAAGTGACAATATTTTCTTTCAAGACACAGGGTCTTGCTATGTTGCCCAGGCTGGTCTTGAATTCTTGGCCTCAAGCAGTCCTCCTAAGTAGCAGGGATTACAGACATGAGCCACTAACACTTGGCTCATTTTAAAGGTGATAAAACTCAGATTAGAGAAGGAAAGTAATTTTGCATGATCATACTGTTAATGAGTTCCAGAAAGAGGACTTGAACCCAGTTCTGCTTGACTAATTCATTTGTTCCCTGCTACTTCTAGGAATCAGAAAAGCTGTCGTGGGCTGGGCACAATGGCCCACGCCTGTAATCCCAGCAGTTTGGGAGGCTGAGGCAGGTGGATCACTTGAGATCAGGAGTTGAAGACCAGCCTGACCAATGTGATGAAACCCTGTCTCTACTAAAAATACAAAAAAAATTAGCTCGGCATGGGGGCGCATGCATGTAATTCCAGCTACTCTGGGGGCTGAATTAGGAAAATCGCTTGAACCAAAGACGTGGAGGTTTCAGCAAGCCAAGATTGCTCATGGCACTCCAGTCTGGGTGACAGAGTGGGGTGACACAGTGAGACTCTGTCTCAAAAAAAAGAGAAAAGGTGTCACAAGTTTGTGATTAGCTCCTTAGCTCCTATCATTGATACAAAGCAAATGCTGAATTATACTTACATATATTTGTTTGCATTTTCCCCCCACCCCATGTAACATGTCAAGAACTTACACTACAAAAGGGATATACCACTTATTTGAAAACCTGGAATTTCTTAGGTGAGTGGAAAAATAAGAGACTTTAAACTCTTCATCCACAAATATGAACATCAAAACTTGGACACTTTTTTAAAAGTTTTTTTTTTTGGGGGGGTTTCAGGTGGAGGTTTCACTGTGTTGTCTAGGCTGGGCTCAAATTCCTGGGCTCAAAGCATCTGCCCACCTCAGGCTCCCTAGTAGCTAGCACTACAGGCACATGCCACCACACCTGGCTCTCTTGAACACTTTTGATACAAATGGTGTAAGTAGCTATAAAAAGTATTCTTAGAAAAATTTTGTTAGCTTTAAGGCCTCTGAGCCTAAAGCATTATACATACATGTTTTTATCATAATGTACTCCAAAAATTATATACTGTTTTACAGAAACTTCCCCAGTGGTGTTCTGTCTCTGTAATTCTCTTTCCTTATCCTGCCCTATCCTTGTCTATACTGTGACACCTATTCTGCTTTGGTCTCCTTTTATAATTCTTAACTGTGTCGTAAAATTGGCCAAGGCAGGGACAATGTTCATATTCTTAGTTCATGGTAGATTCTTTTGGGGGAGAGGGGTATCCATTATAGTTGACCCCCCCCTTTTTTTTGAAGCAGGGTCTCGCTCTGTCACCCAGGCTGGAGTGCAGTGGTGTCATCTCAGCTCACTGCAGCCTTGACTCCTGGGCTCAGGTGATCTCCCATTTCAGCCTCCCAAGTTGCAGAGACTGTAGGTGTGTGCCACCATGCCTAACTAATTTTGTAATTTTAGTAGAGATGGGGTTTTGCTATGTTGCCAAGGCTGGTCTCAAACTCCTGAGCTCAAGCTGTCAGCCCACCTCAGCCTTCCAGGGTGCTGGGATTACAGGCGTGAGCCACTACACCCAGCCCATCATGGTAGATTATGTTTTTTTTTTTTTTTTTTGGAGGCAGAGTCTTGCTCTGGTTGCCCAAGCTGGAGTGCAGTGGTGTGATCTCGGCTCACTGCAACCTCTGCCTCCCTGGTTCAAGTGATTGTCCTGCCTCAGCCTCCCATGTAGCAGGGATTACAGGAGCCTGCTGCCATGCCCAGCTAATTTTTGTATTTTTAGTAGAGATGGGGCTTCACCATGTTAGCCAGGTTGGTCTTGAGCTCCTGACCTCAGGTGATTGATCCACCTGCCTCGGCCTCCCAAAGTGCTGAGATTACAGGTGTGAGCCACTGCGAATGGCCTCATGGTAGATTCTTAATGCCTTTTATGCTGTATACTTATTAGTATTTTAAGTAACATCTTTTTTTTTTTTTTTTTTTTTGAGATGGAGTTTCACTCTTGTTGCCCAGGCTGGAGTGCAATGGCACAATCTTGGCTCACCGCAACCTCCGCCTCCCAGGTCCAAGCGATTCTCATGTCTCAGCCTCCTAACTGGGACTACAGGCATGTGCCACCATGCCCAGCTAATTTTTGTATTTTCAGTAGAAACAGGTTTTCACAATATTGGCCAGGCTAGTCCTGATCTCCTGACCTCAAGTGATTCACCAATCTTAGCATCCCACAGTGCTGAGATTACAGATGTGAGCCACTGCTTCTGGCCCAAGTCTATTTACTTTTGAGTTGCCAGGTTTTTAGAGATGAAAGACTATCCTCTCATAATCTGCTTCTTGTTTAGCATAATTCTACCGAAGTCAGATTATTGCTTCAGTTGATTATTGCTGTGTAAAAACCCTAAAAATTGGTGACTGAAAAGAGTTACAATTAAATATTCACTTCATTACAATTCTACAGTTTGGTCAGGTCTTAGAAGAGATGTCTTGTCTCTATTCCACTTGATATCTGTGGGTCACTTGACTGGGGCTGGAGGACTTATTTTTGAGATAACTCAGTCATATGGCTGGCTGCCAGCTGGGAGCTCAGATGGGGATGTAGAACAGGTCCTTAGTTCTTCATGGGGTGAGCTAGACTTCTCACGGAATAACAGTGACAGGATCCCAAGAATCTCTTTATGAACAAATGTTCCAAGAGACAGACTGCAATACACAAATGTTTGTTCAAAGGCAGTCACATGGCCAAGCCAGTGTCAGAGAGGATACAGAAAGGTATTTAAATACTGAGTGTCATGGTTTACTGTAGGCTACCAAAGCAGCTACTACTACTGCAGTGTTCTTTCTTATTCCATAGCAAAGTAGTCTTTCTGGAGGACAGCTTGAAGACTTAACTTACAGTCTTTGGTCTAGTAATTTCACCTTTAGGGTTTATCCTAAGGAAAATATTTAAACTCCCTGGATCTGTATCAAGGCTTTATCTAGTTCTCATCCATGGCATTTTGCTCAGAGTTAGATAGGTGGTTAATGCAGGAATTCAGATTAAAAACAGATTTTTTAGTTCCAGAACTGTGCCCTTAATCATTGTACTACACAGCCTCCCACCCAGGGTTGTCTGTATATAATCATGTTAATGCTATGAGAAGCTGATAATATATTTAATAAAAATAAGATTTTTACATATAAAAAAATCTAAAAGGCTATATGCTGAAATGGAATATATACAAATGAATATGTATTATTCTTTTTTTTTTTTTTTGAGATGGAGTCTTGCTCTGTTGTCCAGGCTGGATGCAGTGGTACTATCTTGGCTCACTGCAACTGCTGCCGCCCAGGTTCAAGCGATGCTTCTGCCTCAGCCTTCTGAGTAGCTGGGATTGCAGGCATGTGCCACCATGCCCAGCTAATTTTTATATTTTTAGTAGAGATGGGGTTTTACCATGTTGGTCAGGCTGACCTTGTGATCTGCCCCTTTCTGCCTCTCTAATTGCTGGAATTACAGGCGTGAGCCACTGCGCCCGGCCATATTATTTTTTTAATTGTAAGGATATCTTTTAAAAGTCAACCATGCAAACTCAATATATTCATATGTATGTGTTGTGTTTTGTTTTGTTTTGTTTTTTTGAGACAGAGTCTCACTCTGTCTCCTACCTAGAATGCACTGGTACAATTTTGTCTCACCTCAACCTCTGCCCCCTAGGTTCAAGGAATTCTCCTGCCTCAGCCTCCTGAGTAGCTGGAACTACTGGCGTGTGCCACCATCCTTGGCTAATTTTTATGTTTTTAGTAGAGACAGGTTTTGGCATGTTGGCCAGCCTGGTCTTGAACTCCTGACCTCCGGTAACCTGAGCCAACCGCCTCGGCCTCCCAAAGTGCTGGGATTACAGGCTTGAGCCACCACACCCAGTTGTCACATGTATATGTTTTTACATATATTATTTTTACCCTGATTAGTGAAATACTGGTCTCCACCCTTTCATCCAAACATTAAAGAGCTATGTGATAAATTATGGTTGTGAATGCTACATGTAATGACTCTTGGAAGAGTATTCCACTCTCCCCTCTCCATCCCCCACTTTACACTATAAATCTAATGTAAATACACCCCTTGAGGAGGATGTCTTGAGATCCCTGTAGTCCATAGTTGCCTGATGCTCCGTGTGTAAAAGCTTAGGCAATATGAGTACTTACTGAATAAAGCTTCTTAAACCAATATTTTTTAACTGGTTTCCACATCATAGTTTTACTTATAATACTTTACACTCAATTGTCACAGTATTATTCCAAATCACTGCCCTATTGCCCATATCTGTCCCAACTAAACCAGAATTTCTAGGTGATTGTACAGATTCCCAAGTTCCTAACCCTCATTCACTTTTTTTTAAGTCTAGGGCAGCAGTTCTTGACTCTGGCTGCACTTGAGAATCATTTGAA